GGAGTCAGTGTGCTAAAATTTCTTCATTTTCCTTGTTTAGAATCAGAGGTGCTAGTTTCAAATCCTTTTTAGTCTGAAATCTGTATGCTAGATATTGAATAAGGTGGTTTTATTGTTTTTTGTCACTTTGAATAATATTTCTGTTCATGTTAAAAACAAAATCAACTCTCTGTATAAATATATCAGGTGACCGTTAAGGCCCATGGGCCTCTTGTTTTAATTTTATTTTGGGCTTTGTTTTGATTGTAGTTTAATTATGATGATCCTATGATTCTACTAATTTCATTCCAAAACCACAATATGGAATGAAAAAACACAATATAATTCGTTATCGTCATCAAAGTAAGCAAAAACGAAGCTGTCCCAACTTTTGAAATTATCATGGTAAAAGACAAGGTAGGAGATACGTATTTGTAACTTTTCGTGCAAGATTTATCTCTCTTTAATTAAAATGAGCTCACAATAAACATTAATTAATTAATCAAATATCTTGACATTGCAATATCGTGCGTTTTGTACAGCTCTCATTTAATGGTTTAAGTAAACATATGCAAACACGAATCAAGTGCAAGAGACTTGCATATTTGGGTTTATAGATTTTACCAATGGTTCTGGTGGCCTGAATATTGAAGTTTCAAAGGTTCAAGATCAAATTCATGTGCATCAATAACATGTTTACTTTTAAATGAAAATGTCACTTGTTTGGTACAAATTTGTGATTTGAGGATTAGAGGTGAACTCACCTTTATGTTATGTCGACATTTTGCTCTCTCATTTGTTATACAGAAACCTCGTATAGTTTTACACTGGCTATACTTTTCTTTTCCGTTTAATTTGAAATTGTCTTCTGTCTTTGCAGATGATTTTTCGTCAAACCGTAGACAAGACCCGGTGAGTACATTGTAGAACACCACTGATAAAGACCACCTCCCCAATCTGGATGTAAACGGGGGCTGGAATAGACAGTATGTGCCTTTTATTTGCTGTGTATCTCATAAAGAAGGAGCGTTTCCCCTTGAATGAGGGCGTGTTCACAGCAGACTGCCAGTAACATGCACATTCTGAAACCTTACTAGCATGGTACTGGAAGTAACATGTTACTTACTTCCTCGGTTAAGCGATAGTTGGGACGAGTACAACCAAATGTTTTAAGAGGCTGTCAGCAAACGTTAAACTGTGCCTAGTGTTGATCCATTACGGATTGCATATTGTCACTCTTGATAAGCATCGTCAAAAAACGCAATTACGACTATTCTAACCCTAGGATAAAAAAACACACTTCGGAAGTACTATTATGGGCTAGGCAAAATGTCGATGAAAGTCACCTTATTTGGCTGATGAATGCTCAGGTATGTAATTTCAAGAAATTACGCTTTTCAATAAGTGTATGTGTACCTGGTGACTAGGAGGTATCGTAAACATACACATGTCATACTTTGCCTTGATGAGTTGAATTGTCTTGTATACTATTTGGAATTGTTAATTTTGATTGATAAGTTAGAAGTATTTAAAAGCAATATAACAATAATTCAATATTTCTGAAAGGGCAGCATTTGCAGTGATCGATTTCTCATTTCAACTATCAATGGCCGGTATTCGGACCGTCGATCTGAAGTTCTTATTTCCAACAAGAATGTGCCTCTCATTAGTTTCCGCCTTTGATTTGCATAACTCAATTATAAGTTGGCAGTTTGGCAGTTTTCTAAAAATTAGATCGTTTTCTAATAGTTTAAAAACGAAATTGAAATTTTAATGAAATTAGTGAAATATGTATAACGCTTTTTACACATTAAATTATCAATTTTATCAAAATGCAGATTCGATGATTTATAAATTTACATACAAAATTATGACAAAAGTCATACTTCTATGAATACTAAGAATTATATACAAATATGTACTCTGGAACAGAAAAGTGTGAATCGGCGGATAACGGACAACTAAATCAATTTAAATGAAACTGACAGATATCGGGTCCGAACACTGCCTTCCGATTGACAGGGAATGTGTGCAATACGGGAGCTAGTCATAATGATTTCAACTCTTGTCTATTAAAACAATTTACATTGGAATATTTACTAAATATGCAATATATTATATCACAAAGGTATATATCACAATGATCTAGATGATGGATTATAATATGATTATAAAAGTTGATTCCTTCATGTTTATGCTATCATATCTTCTATAATCATTAGTATTCATTGCGATCAAACCATGCATCATATAACGATATGCAAACGTGATTATTGGTTCGGAATAAATCATCTTTACAGTTCAGCGTTTGCCTTATTGTGTGATATAGCCTTCTAGGTTTGATTGTATAATCTAACTGTCATCTTCTAAATCGCATGGAAGAGTCATGGTAATGTCCTTCGTTTGTTCACCCACATTAACTCATTCACCACTGAAATTTTATAATGGACTATTCCAACCTTTTAATTGGAAGAGTTCAAATGTGTCTTCAGAGGTGTTCATACCTTTGAAAGCATGTTAAATGATTAGCTGGAATGTGTATGCACAATTATCGATTAAA